CTCCGCCTGCGGCAGAACGGCGTACATCGGCGCAGAGACTAAGGGCAATGAAGTGTGGAGCTGGCATGATGGAACCGCATGGTGGCAACCTCATACCAATGGTGGCCTACTTGGGATTGAAGACACTCGAGTAGTCATCAAGGGAGATGATCGGCTTTGGTACGACTGGGGAAACGGCAGTGCTCTGCACGGAGTCCTCTGTGCCGCATCCTTTGAAAGCCCGGCTGTGGCTATTTCAGCAAATAACATCTCCAGGTTTTGTAGCAACGGCTGGACTCGTGTGGGAGACCGGTGCTTCTTCTATGATGTTCAGAATCGCGGCTACGGTAACTCTGTGACATTTTGTGAAGGGCTTTATTCCACGATAGCCAGCCTTCACAGCGAAGAAGAAAACAGGATCGCGACCGCTCTTCTTAAAGGCTTCACCGGGACCGCGTGGATCGGCGCTCAGGGCGATGGTCATGGCGTCTGGAGCTGGAGCGATGGGACTCCCTGGTGGCAGCCCGCAGTAACTGCAGACATTGACGGACTGATGGATGAAACACATATTGTCATCAACACAGATAAGCTCTGGCATGACTGGAGTTTAGGCGGTCTCCATGGCGTCCTTTGTGCCTCACCTGTTCACAGTGAGGTTGGCCGAAACGCCACGAATGAGTGCGGAGATTCGAGCGATGATAGAGCCTCTGCAGTTTCACATGCACTTCTCAAGTCCGTAGCGGCTGTGGCGCCAGCGGTTTTGGTGTCCATCACCTGTCCGCTTTTTTAGCGTAGGTCGTGCACGTGCGAGTTACCCATGGCCTCAGGCGCTCGCCACCTAAGCCCCAGTGTGCCAGGCGCTGCCAGGGGTCGGAAAAGGTCATCCGGGGCGGTCTCGCCAGGCGCTGCCATGTACAGAGCGATGACCTGGCGGGGAACAACTAATGTTGTTCCTATGGGTTCCCAAATTATGGTCATACTATGATATCTTTCATAACCCTATCCTATTCATTAAGGCCCCCATAGTATGCCCTTTCTATCCATTTCGCGGCTGTCAGGGTTACCTTACATAATGAGTGCTCTCCCTAGATCGGAAGATGCCCTGGTGCCACTGGCGCTGGGGCCTCCAGCGATCCTGAATGACTTGGTTAGGTAGAACGGGTGAAGAGAATTCTCATGACTAACACTCCTGTACTATACGCAGATGACTTCCCTTACTTGGGAACCCATGACTGGCCCTTGTACAGATTCCCAAGGTGTAGCAGGCTAAGCCTGCAAAGAGCCTGCAAAAAGCTTTAGGGTTCTGGAGTTCGGGGTTTTGCCGGGCCGTAAGGATTAGGGCTGGCAAAGGGGTTCAGCATTTCCGTGGGGGCTTGAGGCTTTAAGGCTTCGCGCTTTCGTCAGAAGTATACGTGCGATTCAGAAATACACCCCAAAGGGAAGTAGCAGCCTCGTTACGGAGACGCTTGGACCTCCCTCGACACGACGTACCGCCGGCCAAAATGCGGGCCGCGTACGATGCTCCTCGCCCAGGGTCTGAAACCCAGCTCAATAGACCTTACGACTTACGGCACCCTCTTTGCCCAGAAACAGCTCGGCAGCCTATGGACGGCTTGAATTGTCTTTCTCATAGTTTTAGCCCGAAATCTTGCAGGCTACGTCAGGGCGCGCCGACGCAAGGAGGCTATACAGGAGGGTAGCACGTAATCTTGTCCCTGTTCAAGGGGTTGTCTAAGAGCAGATGTCAATGGCTTGCTTTGGACAGGCATCGTGTCAGTCATCAGTGCGGCTTCACAATCCACTGATTAGAGGAAAGCCCTCACGATCCGTGAAGTTGTGTGCATATCTTCAACCACAGAAGCTCCTTGGATGCTACTGTAGTCTTTGTTGACATACAGTGTTTGAGATCGGATCGGTGGAGAAGCATAGGAGATGCACAATGCGAGCCCGGCCAAGCCCTATCCGCCGATGAAGACGTGGCGAGGACAGCTTCAGAGATTGTACGCAGGCAGCATCTGCTTGTCCCAAGAAGTTTGAAAGAACTCCCGACGACGAAGCTCTGGCAGAAGCTTTTCTTGCCCGGAGGAGTCTCGAGGGTTATCGCCGCGAGGAGGGCTCCGGACGGCTGAGAGTCTAGGGTCAAAAGGTTTAGGTTTTGGGAGTTGGTTCACACTTTTGCAGGGCTCTGCAGTAAGGACGGTTGGAACTTGCATCTGAAGTCAAGCCTTGAAGCCAAGGCGCTACTAGTAGCTTCTGAGGAATGTCTACATGGAAGAGTGGCTGACAGGTGGCTTTCCTGCAGCAAACTCTGGCCGAGAGAAGAGAGACGGAGGCTGGGACCTGGGATGCGCAGTGCGGCGTCTGACGGCGAAACTACGCTTCGCAGGAAGCTTCACCTAAGTCATACATGCGGCTTCGGGGTTTGTCCATCACAGCGCACTGCAGTGATATGCCTGCATGGGAGGAAGAGCTTCGATCCGAGCTGCGCCGGCAAAAGATCGAGGCAGGCACGCGGCACACTCGTAGCTACTCCCAGCATCCGTCGTCGGCGTTTCTCTGGCCTTGCATGGCCAGAAACCGATCTGAAGCCCGATGCCCTACATGCTTTGACCGGCAAGGCCGATGATCAGCGCCGAGACTTGCAAAGCAACTCACATGCAAGAATCACCCCTAGAGTAGCGGTGCGTAGAACCCGGTCAGCCTGTGGATTAGACGTAATCACCAAGTTGGCAGAGTGGCATAGCCCCTCTTCTCTTCAGGCTTCGCGGTGGTTTCAAGTTTTCCAGTATGCTTACAAACCATGTCAGCGTTTCTATCGGGCCTTGGTTTCGTGAGCGTTGGGCCTCGCAGGGAGCGTGCGGAGCTTCAAGATTCCAGTGATTCTATCCGGAGACCTTGGGGTCCAAGTTTCCAGGGATGCGCAAGATCGGGGATCTGTGGTTTCCAGTCTGAGCACATGCGGATACAGCCTGATGGAATCTTTAAAACATTCGTGCTAGTCGGGGGTTGCGGGGCAAGGGACCTGCTTGAAACGAACAGTACGCCCTCTAGGTTCTAGGCAAGGCCAGGATTTGTGTTGTTCAATACAGCGGAGGAGCTTCCGAAACATACTTCTTGGCTGTATTCTCAACTTTTCAACTTTGAGGTTCTTATAAGGTAGTCGATTCTGAGAGTTTCAACTTTTGTTTCCTGGGGTTTTGGGCCAGAGAGCATAAGGGTTCCTTCAACGGTATCGAAAGGTTGCTACAACACATCCTGGACCTGCTACTTCAAGGCATGTTTTTAGCAAGCTGAGGCCCAATTCTTGGACTTGAGACGGGACCTGTAGTACACCTGCTATCGGGTCATAGGGTCAAGAACACGGTGGTCCTTGTCGGCACTGCAGCGGATTGAATTGAGTTTCCAGCCCAGCATGGGATCCAACAAGCACTGAATTTTGCCCAAGTTCGCGGATAATCCGCAACCAACAATGAAGATGTACAAAAGCCGCACAGCCGGAATATTTCAAGCCACAACCATGGCCCGCACCCAAGACCTAACCGTAGGACCGTAGGACCCAGAACCGAGGCCCGTGAAGCTCAAAGACCCCAAGCCCGCAAACCCGACCCCAAAACCAATCAAACCTCTTCAATAACACTTAGCAGACCCAAAAGCCCCCAAAGCCCCCAAACCAGAAACAGCCCTATGTCCCTCCTCGATACAGATTGAAGCCCTCATAGACCCGAAGCTGTCAGCCTTCTCAGTCCTTGGCCCAGGTCAAGTCGCCAGCCTTCTGTTGGATCTCGGCGAGCAAGGCAGGGTACGAGAGACTTCCGGAGCCATCGATGTGTGGCCTGTAGCCGTGTGCCTATGAGTGTGTACTTGCACGTGCATGTGGCTCATCATGTGGCTGTATATACACATGTACATACACACACATATATATATATATATATATGTATTTATTTATGTTTATGTCTTACAACAGTCCTATGAACTAATTCCCTTGACTTGCGTCGTGGTCAGTGTGTTGCATGATACCAGGTATCCTGCCCCATCTAGTTTTTTTTACAAGCCGGTGTTCAGGGACACTGTATTGGTACATTCCAATGAGATTCAACGTTGAGTTGTGTTTCTTGCCGTTGCAACATCCTCGATGTTGTGTGGGACGTTTCCGTGTCACATTGATTTGCGGCACGTTCCATGTATTTTCCAGCTGTGGCAGCACAGATGGCATCACGTCAGTTCTCTGGCTTACTCGTGCGGGGAATGAAGAGTAAAGTTCAGCCGATGGCCATGGGAGAAGGGACTGCAGTCGAAGGCCTAGGGCTGGTGCTTGCCGGTGTTGGTGGTTTTGTGACTCTGAGAGGAGGAGGAGGAGGAGGAGGAGAAGCAACATGTGCCTACAAGTCTGCACGCCTGACTCTGCATGCTTTGCAGGACGGAAATGAGGCACCCGACCAACCGAGCTGGTGGGCCGAGTGCTGGAAAAAGCAGGGATATACAAAGAAGCTTCCTTGGTGCCGGAGCTCCAAGTTCAAGGAGCAGCTTGTCAACATTCGTTGCTCGAATGCCGGGTGGGAAAGGGTGACTGCTCTGACTCGGAGGAGTCCCTTGAGCCAGCAACTGCATGACCACATTGGTGATTAAGACATACGAAAGATGCTTCTCAATCTCAACACGGGCAGCCAAACTCCGGTTCATAGCGGTCCAGGAAGTTGGAGTACATAGGTCTATCATTACAAAGGGTTGAATCGGCAGCCTCAAGACCCTCCCAAGAGCGAACCCAGCACTGAGCAAGCCACGATGGATCCGAAGGCTTCACGCGTCAGCACCAAGCTCTCAGCTCCAATCCCTGAATCCTACGCCCTCGAATCCTTGATCTGAAGCCCTCACAGCCAAAAAGAAGGAGCTCTGACTCCAGCAGGTGAGCATGCGGCTTGAAGCTTGCTTCGGCCATGAGACCGCGCGACTGATAGACGCCTGACCTCAGGGCCCCTGAGCATGCGGCATACATGTTGCACTCTTGATGAAAGGTCTACATGTGCAGTTTCGCAGCTGTTTTGAGCAGCCCTTCTGGCCTTCGTTCTGAGGGCCAAGTGCCAAGGCGACCCCTTCACATGCCGTGCCCTCCAGCATTCCCGGTTCTGCTGCTGCTTGGGGTGCTGGCTTGGCTGCTGCATCGATGGGCGCGACGGATCCGGCCTAAAGCGGAAGCTTGCCCGAGAAGCACCAGCGAGGTGAGTCCGGTTCACCCTTTAGCTCGGGATTCTGAGCACGAGCTTCGCGAGCTCGTCATCCCAGAGGTGGTTATAGGCTGCGTCTCTGCAGAGGCGCCACGAGCTTATGAGCACAAGTTCGGTGCCCCAAGGTCAGAGCTATACAAGATGGACTACAGCCCCGTCGATGAGGATGTTCCTTCTTTGATCCAAGCAGCCATAAGCGACGAACTGCAACGCCCTCATGTGGAGCAAAGGCTTGAGCAGTTGCGATTGCTTTGCTTCGACTTGCCCGCCTCCGGCTGGGTTCAACCTCGTGATCCCCGTGTACTGCTGAGGCCGCTGCTTGCGGAAGAGGGGGGTTAGGCCGGTTAGGCTCTGAGGGATAACACGGCCAAGCCTTGCTTTAAAATTGCCGCTCGCCGCACCGCGGACTCGCGGACGCATGCAAGTTGCTGACAGCAGGTTCCTACTGGCCCGACAATGCAATGTGCATCGAGCCATGGAGATGCTCCAGGCCGGGGGTCTTCAAGCTACATGGGTTCCAGACTTTGGTACGTGCGAGAGTCTTTCTATAGAGACTGCCTGCAGAGTTCTACAGCGTATGCCTTGGATGTTGGAAGCTTCCATCCCCATCCCAGCCACTTCCGAAAACCTCTCACTACCGCTTTCTCAGGGACTGCGTTTACTCCACTAGGATACTGTCAGTGTCGCAGGGATCTGCCAGGACGTTCTATCCTGGCGGCGGCGGCACGACGTGGCACACGCTCTGCCCCAATGGGAGAAGGCACGAAGAATCCTAAGTCGGTTTGAGCACAGTGCTTTGAGCCGAAAGCCAACCCGCATCCAAAGGTTATATTTCCACTTGAAGGGCCAGGGTTCCCCAACAGATGCCCAGTAGCACGTAAACGACGTAAACGTAAACCGGGCCAGTGTCGTCCTTGTTGGTGCTCGAAGAGTCAATGGTGCCAGGTGAAGCACGAGAGGTTCGACTCCTATTGGAAAGCTTCAGGCTGCACAGGAGAAGACTTCCAGGGAGATCTCGTGGTTTTTGAGAGAATTGGGCAGTATGACGTCCGTGGACTTGTGAGATGCAATCAGGCTTTCATCCAGGAGCACTGCATATACAGCGCGGAGTGCGTTCTCGCTAGCCTTGAACTTGCACGGAGGCGGCATCTTCAGAGAGGCAGCCATCGTGGATTTCAACTGACCGTGGTCGCAGACATGGCTGGTTTGGACTTTAGCTTCCTGGATCCAAGGGCCTTGCAAATGTGTAAAACAGTGTCCAGGTTGGAAGCTGACCACTACCCCGAAGTCTTGAAGCGCATTATCATCGTACGTGCACCCTGGGTTTTCGCCGCTGTTTGGCAGCTGTGCCGTCCATTTATGGATCAAGGTTCGCTCGAGAAGGTGGACATCGTGAAAGAAAGTGAGACGACTGAAGCGATATTGAAGCATGTTCCTCCAGAGAATGTGCCCAAGGCGCTTGGTGGGAGCATGCCTTCTGCTGAGGGAGATGAGTACTGTAGCAACTTGATTGCTCCTGGAGGGAAGATACCCGAAGAGATCATTGCCATGACCTTCGCTTCAACGACAGAGGTCTGAGAGCGGCTTCGTTGCGTCGGGCAACTGAAGCGATCCCATAAGCTTTGCATCTCCACTTCAACCGTGAATTCTTACGTCCGGCAAAACGTACAAGCATCCAGGACTGGACCTGCTTCGAAGATGGTGAATCAGTGTGAACTGTGCCGGTGTGGTCCTGAGCCATCGGTCGGCTTGCGGCTGCTGCATCCATCGCAATCATCACAAGTTGCACCATCAACTGCGACATTGTAGAGCGCAGCTTCATGCTCGTATTCCTGTAGCGATCGAAACCTGGATTGAATCCAAGAGGAGGTCCCTGCGCACCGAGAACACGACCGCCAGGAGAGGAGTCACCAAGGGGACGCTCTTGCCACCCTTGGCCAAGGAAAAAGAGTAGCAGCACATAGGGTCTCTTCCGGTGCACGCCGGGACAGTCTTTCGCTGACTGTGCCATGACCGGAGCATCGCAGGTGTGCTTCGCCGGAGCGCTGCTCACGCTTTGCTATTCGGTCCGTTGACATGCTGCAGTGCTTAGCGAGGAGCCATGCTGTGCGGCAGACACAAACGTGCTGCTTCAACAGCGCCATGAGAGCCCAAGTAGCCGAGGAATGCGGCTGGCTGAGTTAATCCAGCTCTCAGATGGTCCATCCATGGCGGAGTATGAGATTGATGAGCCTCGTGGGCAGGTCGTGGACGTCAACTTTGGAACCAACTTCAGTCCCATGAAGCCGACGGGTGACAACTTTCTCGTGCTTGTCGATCCGCTCCCGGATGTTTGCGACAAGTTGTCAAGCCACATGCATGACAACAAGCATGTGGCGGTCTTGTGCTGTGCAGTGTCCAATTACACGGGCACTGCCCAATTCCTGAAGTACAATTCCGCTGGGCTCTCTTCGTCCTTGACGCCGACGACGAAAGGGACCAGCCATGAACGATTCGCAGTTGATCAGAAGTTCACTGTGAAAGTTATGAAAGCCGCAGACATCCTGGGCGCCTACTTGGCCAAGGGGAACCGTGTGTACAAGCTCAAGACAGATATGCAAGGTTCGGACATGACGGCACTGAAGAACCTCCTGCCAATACTCTCAAAGCCAGATCAGGTGACTCACATCAAGTCCGAGTGCTTCATCCCGGATGCACAGGGCAGGCAGATCTATCAGATTGACAACAATTGCGCCACGTTGAAAGCATACCTTGAGGGCCTTGGCTACACAGTCAAGATGCTGGAAAATAGAAAGATCGCCCCAGATGGAGGCGATGTATACGCCTTCAAGGCTCCAGCAACGAACTACTTGGACCTGCAGGACTGGGATGGCCCGGAGATCTAGTCTCTAAGCCAAGGCGGCCAACAGTGCCAGCTGTGTCAGCGCGCAGAGGTTTTGAAGACGTAAACTCAACTTGCAGAGACAAATGCTTGGCGGCGCTTTGAGAAATCCATGCTTGAAACTTTCCATGACGCATCCTGAGCCCTTACAGCTGCATGTGCTTGTTTCGATCTTGCGGCCCTTCCAATGAAGATCCGAAACGTTGTGCGCTTCGACTGTTGTACGCAGCTATTACTGGCACATGCCTTACGCTCCCCATAAGTGCTTCGCGCGAGTTTTGTGACTGTCTTTTCAGCCTAGCAGCACTGGCAGACGACTGCCGGCGGCGGGTTCTGGCTTTTTACGACCGTGTCGGTGTCCTTCCTTGCCGCTCCATGTGCCGTCTGCCACTAGATTCACGGCTTAATTTTCTGCAGTCGGATTTTTTTTGATCCTGAGGCTGCTCACTCGCAAACGCGTGAACAGCTCGCAAACGCCTGAACAGTGATTAACAGAAGCAAAGGCAGTTCTTCGGGCGACAGCAATGCACAGAGGAGATTAGTGCGAGAGTTCAGAGCTATAAGTATGGAGGCCGTTCACACCGAAGCCCCGAACTTCTTCGGCCGGCAGTGTTGGGGCTCGGAACCGCGCAGCCTCCTAGAACACTCAGACCTGGGACGTGCGAAGGCCAGGCTTTGGGCTTCCGGAGCTTCGGGGGCAATTTCGGGGGCGATTCGAGGAGGACAGGACTCAAGTTCCCGGAGATTCAGAACATCACTGACCTGTAGCCTGAGCCCTGAAGCGTTTGCTCCGACAAGTTGGGGTCCCTTCTCCTTGGCTCCCATATCAAGGATTCTGTGAGTTAGGGTTATGGCATTTCGTACGGGACGTTCTGAAGTGTTCAGAGTGGGGGGAGCGCTTCTAAAAAAAAGTGCCCGATGTCTGACAAGAGGCCGCCGGCCTTTTCTCCGGGGATGGGCTGCGGAGGGGCTAAGCCTGCGCAGGTGCGACCACGGGCCCCCTTTGAATTTTAAGCGGTAGTGCGCTTGTAAGCGGGACTTTAGGGAGCTGACGGCTTCGGTGCTTCTCGGGTTGTCTGCAGGAAGTGCCGGGAGCGGCAGATTGGCGATGCTGGGGATACTTGCAAATCTGAGGGGAGTAGACGGTTCCTGCTTACAGCAACACGATTTCGAGTCGAGATGGTAGTATGGAAGGGGCTTGATCCTTTCACAGACCTGCCTGTGCCTATCCAGCCCGGAAACTCCTTCAGCCCTCAACCACGGAAAGAGAAGCGCAAGGTTTGGGGAGCCCCGAACCTGACAATTCAAGCCTCTCCAGGGGTGCATGGCAGAGGATCTCCAGGATCTGAAACCGTCAGTCATGCCCTGATTTTCCATTAGACTGTAGTGTGGAACTCAAGAAAACGTTAACAAAATCGCAGACACCCTAGATCTCTAACCATCCAAGTTCTCACTGCAAGGCGGCCGCGAACCCGCAGCAGCCTTCCCCGCAAGCTTCGCCACAGCAGCATTCGCAACAGCAGCGCGCTGAGATGGAGGTTGATGTAGAATGAGAATGAGATGCCACTGACCATTGCACTTCTGTCCCAAGTCAAAAGAACGTGTGATTCGGCGGCGAGGAATGTGGTGCAAGCAACACACTCGTGGCATAAGACAGTCCTTGTGATTAAGTGGTGGTAAGCGTTACTTCAAGGATAGAGACACTGAGCACCCAGAATGTTCTAGAACGCCTTGAAAGACCTTGGAATTCCTCTTTCTTTTGCTCGTCTGTTTGCCGTGGCAGCTTGGGAAGCTCCGATGGGGGCCATGGGTCCATGGGTTGAGTTCGGATCTGCGACGTCATGTCCAAGCCCCAAGGCCTTCTTTGTTTTCCTTTCCTACCCACCTGCGGCCCTCGAGGCAGACACGAAAAAACGCTTTAGCATGATCGAAACCCGGATAATCCCATGCAAGCCAGAACGAGACAGGCCCGTGATCCCGGCACCGCAAGCATCCGCAGCCACAGTGAGGCGCGTGTTTTGTCAGGGCGCGGTGATTTCTTGAGTATGTCGAAGCATGCACATCTATCCGTCTATCCAACTACCTACCTATCCACCTACCTATGTCTTCTGCATCTATCCATGCTTAGATCTACCTGTCTGTTTACAAAGAAGTGTGCCGACAACCATAGCAGATGCTTCACGCTGTCTGGAGCGTACGAATTGGCCTCTAACCTGAGGCGAACTGCATGATCCATTCTGGTCAATCCGTACGTCAAAGCTCATCCAACCTCGTTAGAACTGAATCTCACAGGTTTAGATGACCATATCCAGCCTATCATTGCAAAGCCTCCACATCCGAGCCAGAAGGCTCAATGGTGAATGTGAGAAGGCGGAGTTACACCGACGCAGACTCTGTCTAGAGCCCGGTGTAGATCAAATTTGGGGCATGGACATCTGTCTGTCTGTCATCGAGCCTGAGTCGGACAGCTGTTTGTCACAAAACCGCACCTCAATACAGAAATCACGACGGAACGACGAGGCCCCACCATGAAAAGTATGCAAAAAAACACATGTATTCCTGGATGAAGAATCTTCACGACATCCTGCTACAGCAACTGAAAGGCATCAACGGAGCTGTCTCGCTTGTCTTTGCCCGAAAACCAGTGCACACACGGTGTTTTTGTGCCGCTCCTTTCGATGCATCCAGCCGACAGGACCCCACAGGACAACAGCAGCACACAGCAGCGATTCAAACTTTCACAAACACCCCTTGCAGTTGGGACAGTTGGCAAACTGAATTTGTACTTTGCCTGCATCTCATCCATGCTTAAGTCCTCGAGCCTGAATCCTCCCGGTCGGCGGTTTCGAGAGGAGTGACAAAGTCATTGTGCCTCGCAGCTTCCGGCTGCTAGACGAGCTGGAGACTTGCAGCAGACAAAGCTTCTCAGGGCTTTGTGGTTCCGGTTAGTGCCCGGATCTTTCGCCTAAACCACAGAAAGCTCCCCGGAGGTTCGAACTCACCATTTGAATTGCTTCGTCGGCTCTTCTGTTCTAAGCAAGCTGATGATGAGTATTGTTGCTCGTGTTGAGGAGAACTGGCATCTCGCCTTGTGTTCTAAGACTTGAGACCCTGTGCTCTTTATTGGGACAGCCGGCGGCTGCAAGAATTCAAAGGGATGCCTGAAAGTTACGGCTCGGGGGTCTCAGACATCAGGGAGACGGGATGACACCAAGGTGGCTCCCTCACATCGCTGTACTGCTTTGGAAGGCAGAGCCCACATCCCAAGAAGCCGATTTCCTGATACTTTGGGTCCTTCAGTGCTGGGTCGCAACTTCTGGAGTGGATCTTCGGGACCGCTAGAACAGCCGAGGAGAAGGGCCAAAAGTGTGAAAGAGCATCGCACCTTTCCTGGGGCCTGGCCTACGATGACGATGCCTGTCTGGAATTGTTTGTCTGTTTTCGTGAATTACCCGGGCGTGTCGGACGAAGTTGGGATTTTGAACTTTCCCGTTTGCAGTTCCCAGAGCTTGTCATTCCAGGGGCGCAAGCCCCTCGAAGCCTTCAAGCACCGAATGAAACCGAGAACGCTGCACCACGCCCCCGAAGCCCCGATTAAGTTTCATGTTGTCGAGGACATCACCCTGACAACGTGGAACGGAACCATTTTCGGACCTATTGACACAGCCTTTGACAACCGCATCTACTCCCTACAAATTGCCAGGAGCTCAGAGCAGCCTTTCAAGGCTGTTGTTGCAGTTCTGAGCCTTGCAAACTTGTGAGCAAACGGCATCAGTTTACCTGATCGCCCATGTAGAACCGAAGCCAAAGACCCCAAATCGTTCAGGTTTGTGGACAGAACTATCCAGATGTCCTGCCAGAAGTACGCTTTACCGCGTCCTGGCTGAGAGAGTTTCGTTTGGTGTTCCTGTGGTTCACTTCACGGTAAGGTGAACGAACACTTAATTCTAGGATTTTGACACACCAAAGTGTTGTACTGACTTTCAGATGATGGTAGGGTTCTAAGATGTCGTGGGCCCCGCGAAGAAGGCCGACGAGTGGAGTCTTCGTAGTTCCTACAAAGTTTCCCAAATCATGGTCCAGTTTGGGGTTCGTGCGGACCAAGATGGCAAGAATCTCGCGAGGGCTCCTTCATTGCTTTAGAGGTTCCACCTCGTCTTCATACTTGCTAGCCCAGGCGGTTCAGAGGCCGTTCTGCCGTAAACATTCGGTTTGTGCAGCATGTGATGGTTTAAGATGTTACGCCACGAGCACCTGGGAACAAAAACGTGGTCTACGGAGACGGTTCGTGCCAGTATTCAGCCAAAGAGTATATGGTGTATAGCCGACATTTCGGGAAGGTAATGCTGTCAGTTCTTTGAATTTGGCTAACTCGGTTGGTCGTTTGTCAAGCCTCCGCCATCTTTAGTCAAACCTCGACGAAGCGGTCTCAGGGCCAAAGCACCCAAAATCAAAGCCCCAAAAGCCCCATAACCCCAAGCTCCAACACTGGACCTGCAAAAACTTGCGCCAGGCGGGCATCAACATGAATTGCGTCGAATCGGACGGGACCGTCAAGCCCACTTGGGGCGTCTTAGGCCAGGCAATTCACTCATCGTTTTAGAGTTCTGGATTCTGAGGATAAGGAACATGCCACGCAAAGAAGTTGCAAGATCAAGATCCAGGGTTACAGTTTCAACAGCAGTTGAACTGAGGAGGAAGTAGAACTGGCACGACTCTTGGTTCAGCAGGGCTTGGGACATCATTGCTGTTGTTACGTAAATGTGACCAGCGGTGTATTTTGGCTTGGCTTGGCTAGGAAGGCCGGTGCTGACAGGTTTCGAATATTGCCCTTCGGTTGGCTATTGCCCTTTGGAATGCAGGCCAAGAAGCTGTTCCAAAAATTGCATACTCTTCCTGCTAACACCGCGGGCATACGATCCTGCTAGATAGGAAGTCCAGCCATTGCGCAAAACGAGATCCCATCCAAACCAGTGGAAAGAACTTCTGACTATCTGGTTCTGAATACCAGGATAGCGTTGCCGTTTTGGTGACAGCGCAGCCTTGTATGAGATCCGCCTATCACGAGGTTGCATGAGATCCGCCACGCCCACAAATGAGGAGCCAAAACAACCTGTAGTCACTGGCGCTCACTCGTACGCCTCACCTTGGAGCTTGAAGAGTTCAACAGTCTTCCAAGCATCGCTGAAGACCTTGCATAGCTAGTAGGAGTCCCATGAAACCCTAGTCCCAGACGAAGTAGAAGAGGCAGTTGGAAAAGAGAGTATACCATCGAGACCGTCCTGGACGCACTCCGCCGGGAGATGTGACGACCTGAGCTCGGCGGGCTTAGGGTCTCGTTGTGGGCCGTGGAAATCAGTCAGAGGCGTCGACAGTGACATGACGGATGATTCAGCCGTAATGAATCAAAATGTGCACAAATCTACAGACTGGTTCACAGCACAATGCGCTTCCTGCGATCAAGGGAGGAGAGGAGGTTTAGCATGGCGACGAGCATAGTTTTCACAGCAAACACAGCCAGGACTGTGGCCTATTCAAAACCGTTGAAGCCTCCACAACTCTTTCTGTGCTCTTCTCCATGGAGCCACTTTTCTCGTGACACCAGTACGCCAGAGTGTCTGAGTTTCCTGATGCTTTGTACGAACCTGAAACCCTGGATCTTCCCACCAAGGTGCAGCCCTGCAAACCGCCATTTGACCCAGCCGGATACGGCGCCTCCCGCACCAAACAGCTGAGCCACTGGGACGCATCCTCCAGATTCAAAGTTTGTACGTCGCGTAACCACCATGCCCATAACAACTACATCAATTAAACCAGTATTGCTGCTATGATGAATATGACCCGTCTCGCACGTTGCTCCGACGATGCCATGCTCTGTAACATTCTTACAGGGTTTGCTGCTGAAGCGCAACAATCCGAAGACAAACTCTGGTGGCAGTTGGCTCAGAGGCTAACATGGGTTCCCTTTGCCTCAGACCAGGAAGCTTGATCGGCATCGCAAAGAAGCATAGGGGTTTCAGTTCTGTCGAAAATCTCTTTGTATGCAGACTTTGACCATGCCGCAACCAGGTTCGTCGAGCAGCGGCAGCAGTGGACGGAGATGCGAGTGAAATAGCAGGGAGGTTGCTCAACACCATGATCACAGCAGTGGCATTTTACGAACAGCCGCAGCTCGAACGCGATGTCCAAGCAGTAGCCGATGATCTTTCAGCTCCTTGCAGTACCCAAAAAAACCCTAGCTGTTGAGTTGAAACAACACTTCTCGTTGGAGACTCCCTTGATTTCATCTCTGATGACGGACGGGTGTTTTGGGTTTTGGGCAGAGGGCTTCAGCGCGTTCTCGGCAACGAGCACATTGGCTCGGAACGACCCGCACCCGCAACAGATCGAGATCAGAACCACTCGAGCATTCAGCTAAACCGACTGACTGAGTTTAGCAGCAGAGACAAGTACCCGGGGCTTTTCAACACAAGGCAGGGTGTGGGGTGTAAGCACTTTAGAATGACATCGAAGCCCAGCAAGCTGTTTGCATAAGCAGACCAGTTGCATCCGGTTTTGAGCAACCTCCGACTTAAGATGACAGCCTTCGCCTCAAAAGGCTTCCGAAGGCTTCCGAGGGCAGCGGGCAGCTTCTCAATCGGGAACACCTTGCAGTACTTTTACTATCACTTTGTTTCTTCGCAGGGCCAAATTGAATGTTTCCCAGAGCGTTGAGCTCCCGGGCAGAGAGAGTAGACTGACACCTGAAAGTATTCAGTAGTTTAGGGATCTTTCCTACACGTTTGACACATCGCGAAACGAAACCGAAAACCCTTATCAAGCGCACAGATTCGAGCACAAATGCAGCATAGGCTTAGACTACTGGAAGACTACTCGTCGACATTGGACACTGAATCTCGTGACCCCTAACCACTGATCCGAAATATCACTGCTTTGTGTCAGGCCCCCTGAAAGTCTGGCCGGAGACAACAGAGACCATGGCACCTACGCATGAAGCCGAAGTAGTCAGAAAGCCGACATGATTAACAACAGCTTCATTTACGCGTGCATCCGCGCATCCTCATTTTGCTGGGTTCGGCTTTTGTGGCGTCAAGATCTGGACCCTGCAGAAGCTCTTTTCGATATGGCAGAAGCCCCACAGTGGAACTACTCTAACCCCGCCTGGCGCGCAGACAGGAGGAGCGTCCCGTTAAGGCGAGTGCCTGAGCATCACAGCAAGTGCGACGATGTCAATGATCCTAGTCCTAGTACAACAGTACACATTATTACACCGGCATGCCACTGGAATTGTCAGCGTCATGACAGCAAGACGGCTGCAAGGCTGGATGTGAAAGACCTAAGCACAAGAACGATGTTGTCCGAGACGGTGCACTTGCTGTTTGACATATTGGTTTTCGAAAGGCGGCTCTGCTATTCAAATCTGTGGGATGGCAGCTGCTCTCAAGTTTGATTGAATGGTAGCATCTGCGAAACAGCGGCCGTCCCAAGAGTAGACCGCCAAGCGCAAGGGATGGGTCCAAGACCCCTGGAAGACTTGTAGGATCCCGAACAGGCGCCTAAACACGAAGTCATTGTAACATGCCTCGGGGAGAGAGGTCCAGACAGGTAACATGAGAGCTGCTAGGAGCTGACCCGGATCTCCCAAGCTTGTTGGCTACTAGGCATGACCGCTAGTGACTCTGCTCATCCAGCCTTGCAACTCAAGTTGATGATTCTTGCCTGATGAGCTTCTTCAGCTTCCTCAAGTGGGCCGGAATCCCACACGAGACAATAGTGGTACTTGCTCAGTGCAGGGGACTTGGAGGTTGGACTCCGTTTTATGCTCTGCATGGGCACCCCCGTGGCCGGAGCTGGGCACGCAACTGCGATGCCCGAGTCTCACCCACAGCGCCGGGCCAATCCCTAGTCGGAGGATTTCCTTCTGTGTTCGATAAGCTGTCAGCCACATCCAGGCAGGTGCTAGTGACAGCTGATTGACTTCTACAAAGACGCAACCCGACGCAACCACACCCACATGCACCAGCAGAGCAAACGCACGAAAGAACCATGGTTGGTGGTTTCTTGGAAGCAAAGTACCAATCTTGCTCTGTCGCAGTGAAGGGTCGTCGTCGTCGTTGTCGCGAGAAACAAAGCCTTAGTTGGCACTGAGTCTTCAGGACAATTGAGTTACCACCACTATCAGCAAATTCAGCATCGCTTCGTTCATTAGGACCGCTCCCAACAGAAGGTCCTCAAGAGTTCCCTACTGTTGGCATGTCACTTTGAGTGTAGATTGCTGCTCGGATGTAGACCAACTTATTGGCGACGTGCCCGAGGGGATTGGAAAGGCACTTGGACAAATCTCCACGCCCGGGGACTTGGGGCCTGACTTTCGCGGTCTACGCAAGAGTTCTCCGCAGGATCAGACGGTGGGTACAATTTGCGACTACACTCACTCGTGGCAGGGGGTATGATCGTTTAGTACGCATCACAGCGTGTAAAAGTTTCACAGGTATATCAGACTCGAAACCACCCAAAGAAGAAAGGATCGCATCAATCAGTGCTTGCGTGATTCAACCTAGAACCGCAGACATTGTGGTCAGGTCCCCAGGTGAAGAAAGAAACAGAAGGCACCTGAGTGCCCCGGGTCTGGAGCTTTTGTAGGTGTCCGAAGTGATTACCTTTAGCACTTTAGCTTCCGGCGCTCACTGCCACAAAGCTGCACCTGAACCTCCGGCTCATAGCTTTTCGAGATTTCGCAGCGCTAGGGCAGCTTTGGAACGAAGGCCTGCAGGGAGGGATTGGAACCCGCCGTTGCCCACATGTGCTTCAACCCCTAGCTGCCCGGACGGCCAAAGATCCCCCTTATGATCCCTCGGCCCTGTTGAAGCTTTACAGGTTATGAATAAGTAATTTCCATTGCCCAGCTTTGTCGTGCTGTGGGTAAGGATCTGCGCAACTCTACATACCATCAATCCTTACAAGCCCGGTCTCTACATTTAGAAGCATAGAGTGCTTGTGGGACTAAGGGCACCAGATGTGGTTTACAGGAACCCTTAAGGGAAGCCTTAGTTCAGCTCCTGCTTTGAATGGCTGTGCGTACCAGGAGCTCTCGGGGCATCCACAGCCAAGCCACAAACACAAACTCGCTGCAACGCAAAGCCTTCAAAATACCCAGAAAGCAACTGCCGTCAGGAAGACACAGAGAGAGGGAGAGAGATAAAGATAAAGCCAAAGATAGAGAGAGACGGAGAGAAAGAGAGAGAGAGAGAGAGCTAATCTCCCACCGTCTCAAAGAGGCTATGCAGGGACGTTCTCATGACCACACCGCATCGCTTGAACTTGTTCGTAGGTAGCTGGCCATGTCGAGGCACTTGGGCGATGTAATAAATGAGAGAAGGTACCTTTGAAGGTTATGCAGCAACAACATTTTGAACCAACGAATCGCTGTGAACAAGAATTTAAGAAGCAGCCACTAGCCTATGCCCTTTGAGTACAAACTGTACTCCCAGCAAACACCCTTATACTCCCGCACAGGGTTTGGCTGTCGCCCCTCTCCGCACACCGCCAGCGTGCGGAGATGGAAGGCAAAGGCTGAAAAGTCAGGAGTGGTGGTTTCGCTTCGAGTGCCAACAACTGGACCACGAGTTCCTTAGGACCTGGGTTATTTTGAGAAGAAGAGCCTTCGCCTTCCACCCGGTTCATGCACCGTGCTCAGACGTCGCCGATGTTCGCAAGGTATGCGCAAACAGGCGCGCGTCATGGGACACCCGCCCTAGGTGTAAGCTTAGCCGGTGGGGTCGCAGGAGCTCGGTAGGGGTCCGGAAGCCGAGGCCAACAAATGCACGAACTGCATACAGTATACACAGTATACATAATATGACAATATGACATCGAAGATATTGAATATATCACAAACCGTGCCTCCGTGTGTGTGTGTGTGCGCTTGCGCACATGTGTATGTGCGAATGTTCTTCTTTTCGTATCCAATACCCCAATATACACGCACACACATCTACTAAAGACTTACATGTCACGTACAGACATGCATACATGCACACGTCCATTCATACACATGCCTTGCTGTACATGCATCTCCGGACATACACGTGTATGAATAGCAGGCATGCCCATGTTCACACTAGCGTCGATAGGGGCAGCTGTCGCGGAACGACTCCTTGGTAACAGGGATGCATGGCTTTCTCCGTGTTCTCCTAAAGGCATGTGCTTCCGACTTCCCATCAGCTTCTTAGAGGCGTGCAAGCTCAACCATAATGCCGACTAAAAAAGCGCGACATCGTTTCATGCTCTTTTTGCTTGAAGGTCCTGAACCGTCAGCGGAATTGCTCAACCTCCAAAGTCACGCAGAGGTCATTTGTCCAAGATGCAAAGAATGAACCCGAGCTCCAGAACCCCGAGAGTCCATGGACGACTGCTTGGACCGCAGCTGATTTTCCAGTCACATGTTGGGATCCGCGAAGATGGGCTCGAAATTTCAGTGGCCCAAAGCTCGAAGCCTTCTGGAAAAACGCAAAACCACACCAAGTCTCGAGTTTGTGGTTTAGCCGTTTGGCCGCCTTCTCCTTGCCGTTGCTGCTTGTTTCCGTGAGGATGGTCTTCCAACAGGCCTGAGAGCAGAGGGTTCAAGTCAGAGAGAGAGTAGAGTGGCGCTCGGCCTGCCGTTTCCGGTGCTCTTAAGAATCCACGTGCACTGGACTGGTAGCCTTCACGAGCCTGGTTGCCTGGCTCTCGGGATGTGTCCCTCTGCTTTCCTGTTTCTGGAAGGACGTTACCAGATGGAACACGGCCATCGCCAAGCAGGGACGCGCCAAACACTGGCGCAGTGCCACCGGGCTGCTTGTGACGGGGCTGTTCGTGTTCGTGAGCCCAGCTCAAGAAGCTGTGGTGCTTCATGCTTAGGAGAGAGAACCTCACGTGCTTGTTCTCGTTTGGATTCCGAGGGGAGAATGCAAACTAACTCACGGCCTACCCTGCACCTCATGCGTTGGGCTTGGGCTTCGCAACCTCGTTGTGAGCTGGAGTTGCCTGCACCCGCATAGGTCCCCTGGCTTACCACTATGATCAGTGATTTGCTCCGAGATATGGGTTTGATGGCCAGCCAAGCAGTGATTGTCAGAAGTCCCAGTTCAACGGTCCGCGGGTTCCAAGGCCGTACAGCTGCTGGAGCAGGGAGAGGCAGACAGTTTGTATCCCTTCAAGAGTCATGCTACATGCACAGAGCTCTGAGAGATGTTTGGTTTTCCTCCGGTCTGTTAGTGGTCGGGGGTGCGCAAGGAGCAGTGTGGAGTTTTCCCTGCTGGCTTGAGCACATTGAGGGCGCTTGCAAGGGATGGGAAGAAAGTGCAGAAGAAGCGGCCTTTAGTTCGATATGGTGAAAGCTGGAGTCAGGATAGACCTGGACCAATTTTGATTTTGCGGGATTGTGTGTTCGATATGACAGGACACGAGTCGAAGACTTTTGCGATCGGTTTATTGACGGAAGCGGACTTGGAATTGCCAATGAGGGCACAGGCGAAGACTGTTCAGGGTGGCAGTGGCCAGGCCAAATTACCATTTGCTACACCTGCTAAGCTTCATGCTCTTCACTGTTGCAGGAAAACCGCCAGAATCCCAACACTGTGACGCTGAATGCGGTCATGGGTGCTTGCCCCCCGACGCAATGCCCTAAATTTGGCGAAGGTTCGCTTCAGAACAGGTTGAGCTCTTGCTGCGTCGGTCCAGATGCTGATATGGCAGGGAATGCGACATGTCCAGACGTGTCCGAGACTGCGTGCACAAGCGCAATACGTACACCAGTCTTCTTCTGCGGTAAAATCAGAGACGTCAGGTGATCGTGCTTCCCAGTGGCAGTATGCCCTTTCGCTGCTGCGCTGGAATTGAGGAGAGTCGGGACAAGTCACGGGGTAGCACGACTCTATTAACGATGCATCAGCAGGGAAGTACAATAACACAAAAGCGATTCGGCATGGAGAGCTTCTCCAGCCAATCCTTGGTTCCAGGATCGAGGAATCAGTTTCGGGTGATAGGTTTCGTGAACACCGACCCGAGAGTGAACCCGAGAATCAGAAGAATCTGAGGTTTCTGCGTGGTTTTCGAGGACGAAGCTTGCAGCCAGATGTCTCGGCCTTACAACGGCTTCATCATCACGAGATGGTAGGCAACATTTGGTGGTTCATGGATGTTGTCAAGCCAGGGTTTGCTAGCGTAGGGAGAATGCAACTCTAAGCATCTTGTCTCAAGCGACTAAGTCACCGAACCTGAAGGCTTCTCAATACCGAGGCCCCATACTCAGAATTTAGATGTCGGTGTCAAGTATCTGCAACCCGCTCAAGTTGTAGAGTGCCCACAGTTAGACTCGCTGATGGACCAATTCTGATTTTGTTTTGATCCAAACTCTGAATGTTAATTGTGATGTCATAGAGATGTCAAAAAAGGCATGTGTGCGAGAGGGCGAAATCCTGAATCACACATATGTCTCATCAACATTGACATTGGATTGGATCGGGGAGTGAGCCAGTTAACACGTCACACTCTTCTTGCTGTGGCTCATGCAGGATTTTGTTCACCCCGTACACGTAGCGAGTCGCAGCTTCGGGAATCTAGTTTTAGTTTGGTTTAGTGAACTCACCGGGTTAACCGATTCAAGCCATCAGGTTGTCACCTACAACACGGCCCTGAGCGCGTGTTCCAAAGGCCGAGTGTTTGCTAGCAAGTAGCGGGTGCCCCAGGCAGCTTTGCTCAGAGGTCTAAAGACACGTTGTCAAACTTGTCGTTCAGAAGGGTTGTCCAGCATTTGGTAGGAGTGCTGCAAGGTGCAAGTAGCATTGTAAGTCGTAGAAGCTTCATGATTGGTGTGTCAGCGTAACTCGCAGCATCCCTTCCGAACCCTCAAACAGCTCTCATCGTTACACGTTATTCTTTACGCTTGCTCTTGAATCGAGGGTCGAACATGTCGATGGACCTGCCTGGCCTGATCTCAGAGACAAGTAATCTTTGTCAAGACTGCTCTGAAAGAAGTCCACTGGCAATAGCCTGCACCCTGTGCAGCACATAGCCGGTACCATCCACATGCGTAATTCTGCTCTGGACGTTCTAGACTTCACTATGCCGGACGATGCGAGGCAGCCGCTGGCAGCTGGCGCTCGCTTTGCACCGCGCTGGGCCCGGCTTTGCTGCAGCGCCGGCCCTGAGGGCCTGCAGCCAAGGCTGGCGGAGCCCCAGTTGGAATGGGATGGAAGCACCCGTAGCACTACTGAGATGATATGACTGTGATTTTGCACACGAACTTCGCAACGGCAGGCTCTGCGTTCCAGTACTGGAATGCAACAGAGGGAACAAGCAAACCTCAAAGGGAAACCCAAAGCCGAATCGATGCAGAAAGAGCTGTCTTGGGCCTGGAGGCCAGCAGTGGCAGCTGGGCCTGGAGTTCCTCAGGAGCCTTAGGGCCGAGGATTTGGACCTCCGGGCTCTCACCGCAGGGATCCAGGCAGCACGGCGCGTTGGCTGCGGTGGCGGTGGCTGCATCCAGGTCTTTTTGTTGTGTTCCGCAGAGCCTGAAGGCCTGCTCGCTCGGGGGCTGCTGGCAACTGGCACTGCAGCTCCTCCATGAGATGGAAGGCACTTTGGACCCGACTTGTTTGGTCGGGCTGTGGTTTTCCTTGGAGTCGACCATTCTTTGGAAGAGGCCTCCGGCACTCTGCAGATGCGATTGCCATCAGTGCTGCCATGGGCGCCTGCGAGTGTCTCGACGGAAGTCTGCGAAATCGCTTTGTAACCCGGGCAATTCGCAGGTTCAGTATTAGAGGATGGTCACCTGCCCAAAGCCCTAAGCCCTGCCACACATTGCCTTTACATAGTTGGATAGTAATATAGATATTTTCGGACCCCAATAGTAGCCCTATCATAGACTGTTATTGTATGGGGGTAGTACCCAAAAATACCCCTCGTATAACATCTGCCCCGGCCCAATCGAAGTTTCTGCGACCGTGCAGGAAGGCTGGCCACTGGGCTCAGGCCCTGAGCCTCTTTCGGGGCCTTCGCGGCCGTGGGCTGGAACCTGCGGCTCGATGCGCTTTTTTTGGCCCGTTTGAGTGACTCCCAACATTTCAATAATTCGGCGGGGTTTTTGCACCTGCATTAAGCCGAGGATGTCGTCAGCTTCAATTCAGCGCTGAGCAGCTGCGCCAGAGGAGCCCCAAGCGTGCTGAGAGCGAATGCACCTGCTTCACGATACGATACGGTGAAACTCCGGGGGCATGCTTGATTGACTTAAGCGTATACAGCCCCGCGGTTCCCGACTCCTCCCACAAGTCTGCTGAGCCGAAGCACGGCGTCCAGGAGAGGCGTGGCAGACAGCTTTGCAGCTTCTTTGGGAGGCTTGCAGAGCGCCTGGGCAAGGTCCAGAAAAGCGAGGCTAGAAGAGAGCTAACAGGGCCGAGCCGACTTTCAGGAAGTCCGTCCGGACGTCGTGACGTTCACCTCAGCCATGTCAGCAGTCTCCCGGGCCCATCTCTGGGAGCAGGCCAGGCGGCCAGGGCCAGTGGCGTGGCGTCTCTTTTTGCTTCAAAGGGCTACACCTCTGTCTTCAGGCGCTGGACCTGCACGAGCTCCTCCAAACAGAGGTCCGACACTCAGAAGTTTTGCTGTCAAGGAACCTGCCGTAGAAATCAATGAAACTGCGCTGCAGGTTTTGGCCAACAACGTGGTGCGTCTTACGGCGATCCAAGCCTGTGGGACTGCCGCTCCGGGCTTTGCATTCAAGAAAGGATCGTAGCCTCGTTCGCACCCTGCGAAGGATGCTGGAGCACTGGCAGATGGCCCTTGCCTTATTGCCAGAAGATGGTCATGACGAGGAATCGGTGTGCCCGTGTGCCCTTCAAGCGCCGTGGCATGAACACCAAAGTAGGGCCCTCTGCAGGAGAGCGGCAACGCCGCAAATGCGGCGCTCGCAGCCGTGGGCTCCTGGGCTGGAGCGTTGCACCTCGTCGCCTCCATGACCATCTCGAGGTCCAACCAGTTGGGCCCCCTAAAAACCACACGGGTGGTTGGAGTTAGACTCGGTGCGACATCAGACTGGCGGTGTTTCTGCTGATCGCCACAGTATCGCAGTCAGCTTCTGGCTCGCTGTTTAGCCGTGTCAATCGCAATGGCTCGCCAGCGCATGTTTGCCAAATTCCTCGTGTTATGTTTGGGCTTGGCCCGTGGCATCCGCGAATCAAGCCAGCGGGGCTTCGAATTGCCCCGGAACTGCGACAGCTTGCCAATGTGGTCGTCTGACAAAAAGAAGTGCTGTTCTTGCAGCACACGCCGATATCCGGACTCCAGTGATCAGGTGGGCATGGTCCAATCTTTCGAGTATTCTGACTTCGCTTGTCAGCTGCAAAAGGATACGTGGGAGCGCAGGATTTGCTGCCCGCTGTGGGCCATCGATTGCAAGCCAGAAGACCCCCAATTTCAAGCCGGCTTGTCCAGGGAATGCCGTGCCCCAAAGGAGGAATGCAAGAGCTACGAATGCAGAGATATTTTCCAGGCGCTGGCGCAGATCACTTCCAAGTTCGTCGAGGTCAATGGGTCGATCGGCATCGAGCCCATCTGGTCCGAGACCTATATGTCCCGGGAAAGCAACCAAGGCTATTTCTGCGATTGCGGATGTGGTGAGCTCGTGGACCGCGAGGCGAAAATTTGCAAGGCGCCTGTGTCTCACAGGCTCACAGGCAACAGGCAGGCTTCAGCTTTTGAAACATACATGCGTCTTCGCGACGGGCCAAGCTCCCCGAGCACGGCTTCGTGAGGCCAAAAACGAGAACGCCACCTACTGCGGCGCCACCAGACCTTGCTGCACACGGCTTGCGGACCCATGCATGCATGCGCTGTCAGGTTCAGAACATGTTGCTTCTGGCTGTTTTGCACAATTGCTCGTCGGCATGTCCTTGTCAGCCCTTTATTGCTTTTCTCGTGCGTGTGTGTGAGTGCGCGTGCACAGGAGTGTTTTAGTTGCAGTAGCCGCCATCCCAGACCCCGACGACTGAGTTCCTGTGACATCAGGACTGCGAGGCTTCAGACCCCTGGCCGGAGGCTGTCACCCAACAGCAAAGAACTGTATGGTGGGGTGAGGCTGGCCTCCAAAATGAGAGAGACCGCTTGAGAGCCTTTCTTGCATTTGACAGCAAGGGCTCCGAGAGTCGAAGCCTTTGGAGCTCTTTAAGGCCCTTTGCCTTAGGACGGCTGCTCCGACAGCTCGAGAAGTTCGGGAGCCAGTGCGTGGAGAGTTGTCAGTCCCAGCGCCGCAATCTCTGCTTCCAGAATCTGATGGACGTCGCCGAGAAGAAGATCCTTGGCAAGGCCCATGTCCTGGGTCTGTCGGACTGTACTTCAAAATTCCCTTCCCTGTGCAGGACATCACTGTCCATCAGAAGCGGGAGGAAAAGAAGTTCAAAGCATTGGTGGAGTACAATAACCAGAATCGAGGGTGGTACTTCGACAGCTCTTCCAAATGGCTCGCCAAGTACCAGCAGGACCTAGACAAGAGCAAGCAGCCTGAACGAAGGCAGTGGAATCAGAATGCGCTGGCACAGCAGCTTGTGGTCATGGCGCCCCTGGTGCTGCCCTCACTTGGATCTACTTTTTACATTCCAAAACCGCTGTCTTGCGAATTTCTATCGAACTCCTTGCTCCTTGCCTTTTGTTGCTCCTTGCAGGCGCTGCACTCTTCGGAGCAAGCAAAAACCGTCGAGCAGAAGACGATGGTCTGCTGCGCATGTAAGAAGGAGTTTGGGTCCTTCGACACGGTCCTCGACTCGAGCCCTGGACGCAAAGAGGAGAACTTTTGCCTGTGAATCTTCGGCCATGCGAAGCCTGCTGCTGAGCTCTAGGCAGCCATTTGTCATCAACTTCTGCACCGCCGAGTCATGCGAATCTCCCTGCGAAGAAGTGGCAGCTCCTTTTTGTGCAGCTTCCGTGTCCACCTGCAAGTGATAGCGAAGTTGTGCACCAGCTGGACAAAAGAAGCTCCTCCGGAGACCAGCAGCAGAGGGTCGCAGTCGTCACAGCTCGCGCTCGTGCAACTGTTTTCAGCCAGGATACCGACCAGCTCGGTGACTTTCCGGAGCCTCGCCCGCCAGCAGCTGAGCGCAGCTGAGCGCAGCTCAGCTATGCGAATGCCTTGGCTCTGAGGCTCCTGTGAGAGGACGGGACGCTGGCAGCAGGCGCTCAGCATGGCTCAGAGTCAGAGAGACCACCACGCCTTGGGCCCAGCCCAGGCCTTTCTCCTCCCTCTCCCCTTCTGGTTTTTCCCAGGTCTCCCTGGAGTCCTACAAGGCACTCATCGCCGCCTGCCAGGCTTCAGCTGCCACGACGGCAGGCCGGGGAAACGAAGTCCTTTCGGGGTGTCCGCTTCCTTTTCTTTTCTGCTTCTGTTGTGGAAGAGGTGCGGCTTTGATGCGCGAGATGCACGGAGTTACGGAGACTGGTTTCACGTGGTTGTGGACCCTGGCCAAGCTGCAGCTTCAGGAGGTGGCTCCACAGAATTCCCCAGTTTTGTGTCCTAGACATCCTTCAAGGGCTATCTTTCACAGCAGAGACGGCGTAAAAGCCGAAAGGCCCCTTCTCAAGAAGATGTTGTCAGGCTGACCTCCGAGCCCGCGCAGTGGCGGCTGCCATTCGTGCGCTCGAGGCCCTACTCCTAGCCCATTACCCAAACTCATGTAGACTCCGTCGTCATGAGTCTGTAAAGGGCCTCCAGGAGAAGTCCAGGTGCATCTACCAACGTCTCAAAATGCAACGCTCAGGGAACGGTTTCTCCGGCGGAAATCGCGATGCCTGCGACTTAGATCTGCAAAGCCCGGCCGCATGCAGAAGCGCCGGAGATCGGAGTGTCAGAGCGAAGGGGGAGCCATATTGGAAGCAATCCAATAATTCCTAATTCCAAGGTACCTCTAGTGTCAAGAGACCGTAGAGAATGCCGAAGCAGAAGCTCAGGGTGTCCTGGTCGCTGGCCACACTCGGTGCCTCGGACAGGGATCACGGCCAAGAAACCTGGAGCCGAGTTCGGGTTACTATCATGAGAATTGATGATGATCATTGGTGGTTACGGTTATGATGAGCATTGCCATTCTTCTCGTCGGCTCTTCTTGTTTGCCTATCACTTGCACGGTGCTGCAGTCCTCATGGTGAGAAGGGTTGTTGAGGATCGCCGGAGTGCTTGAAGTAGAGGAACCCGAATTAGCTTAATTCGTGCCCTAATTTAGGGCACTTCTGACACCAGTTCCAATCCACCTACGTAGGCATCGCTTTCAAGAAGCAAAAACCTCGTACATCCCTACCAAACAGCCATACGATTCGCACAGTCATGGTCAGATCCTTGTAGCTCGGCAGTTCTGGACCCCACGACCCTGAGACACTGAAGATCAATTCCTCAAGCGCGTAGTGTTTGTCTTATTTCGGTGCCACAGTATCCGAACCTTGTGACTATGAGGTGTTGCAAGCCCACGCTATCGAGCAGCGTGCTCGCGACAAGTTTCCTCGCTGCATCGCTTCACTACAGAGGATCAACCACGTGGGGATCAAGGGCCTTCCGAAGTTTCCGAGATGATGGCAATCACAGAGCAGCAGTTCCCTCAGTCACCGAGTCCGCCATGGATTGAATACATTTTGCTAGCGGTGGTAGTTCGTCTCATCGTCTCAAAGGTTTGATTATTTGTTCCAGTGCCCCACAACCTTCTTTCGATATTCCATCTTTGCGGTTTCCTACTTGTGTGCTTTGCTGGCTGTATGCGAGTCTGTCCGAACATTGCTTGTGTGGACTCTACTCTCTATCTTGTTGCCTGCAGCCGTAGATAATTTCTTTTCGAGCAAATCGCATTTTTTCCATCTTTATGTTTTTCCAGTCGACCGCGCCCGAATGCAGCAACTACAGATGCGTGTCAGCACAAGTGCGAATGGGGCTTTGCATGCATGCTTTAGCTTGCCCGGAGTATCTGTGTACCTCGCCAGCACAACTTTGTGCTGAGCATAAGTGCCGAGGCTGTCGTCGTGTTTAGGAATGTTGACCTTGTGTTTCGTTGTTAGCCCGGCCTGCTCACTGTGGTTCCGAGGTTTGCATAGCTTTCAGCTGGAAACCGCGAGTCTCTAAGCAAGCAGCAAGCAGCTCCTCGTCGGGAGAGGAAAGGCGAGGAAAGGGGCCTCCAACAAAGAACCTTTCAGGAGCTGGGCCATCTTGCATTCGGCCTTGCGGCTGCCCCGGGTGATGCAAAGGCTCCACAGGGCAAGCGTCCTCGTCTGCAAACCCGTACAAGGCTGCAGGTCTGGTCCGATGCAGGGACTGAATTGCCTTCAGCTTTCTTTGACCGGTATAGTCCCCGAACAGCCCGGCATGTTCGGAGGTCTTTCTGCAGTTGCAACGAGAAGTTCGGGGACGTGCCTGCGACAAGAAATGGTCATCGGGACGTGTGCTTTCCTGACAGCTGCTCATTGGGATGAGAACTGAGTTGGGACGATTTATGGCTTGAGATCTGTCGAGTGCAGAAGCTTATGTTCGGCCTGGTTGTTTCCCTTGATGTCTCCAACCGCTCTGCCCCGAGGTTTGAAGATGGTGCGCTGGACTCAAGTTGCAGCACCTCTTCGGCGAAAAGCGTTAGAGGCACCAGGGTCAGAACTTTCTGCCTCGACAGCCTCGGGGAAACTGTGGATTTGCTTGAGGACGACCTCCTGAATGTCCTTTGGTCCTGCAGCTTTGCCGGCCTCTTGTCTTTGTGAGGCCAAAACACAACTGCTTTCCCGCTTGACTGCGCTTATGCCTACCCCCCCTCCATGCCTCCAAGTTGCATCACGCATCTGTGTCTGCGTCCGTCGATTGATGCGTCCGTTCTGAAGTTATCCAGAGTAAACATGCTCATAGACATGTAGCTGGATAGTTAGACAGCTAGATACACATGATTGCGCCTGTTCATTTTGCAAATGTACATACCTGTGCATACCTGTATACAAACAAAGCATCCACAGATTCGGATGTGGACATGTATATGTATACAGTTTGAGTATGTATGTCTATATAAGTGTACATGAATGTGTATTATATACTTTGTGCACATACATACGTACATACATACATGCATGCATACATACATATAATGTGTATTGGACGTCAGTCTGACTTGAAAGACCACAGAAACAAGCGCCTGCGATGATCCTGTCTCTGACAACGAACAAATTAAGAACACTCACGTGCAGCCTCCGCGAGCAATAAAGTCAAAGAACAACTCATTCTGCAACCAGCAATCACTCTGAACAGGCGGACCACTTCAGCGATCTGACCTATCAAGCAATGGGATCCTACCTTGATCACGCCACACATGCGTTCGAAACAAACTCTCTCCACATCACTGCACAGTCAATGTCTTGGAGTTGGAAACAGTATGAGTACACCGATACACCAACGGATCAGCAGCTCACCTTCACACATCTTTTGCACGAGTAGGCAATCACAACGTGATTTGCTCTCAATCAACTAAAGACAGTGAGGAAAACAATTGTACCAGCCAATTACCTCGACGGCGGTACGACAAGGCATGCACTCGTTTCTGTGTAGAAAGCGCAAACACATACCTGCTCATGCAAGGTCCATCACTCGCATGCATGCACTCCTATGATCGGGCTTCATATGTCACCTGCATCTACAGCAACACGGTTTTGTCATCAGCACACACTTGCTCGTCTGTGTCAAGGTCCCAATAAGCAGTCGATAAGGTCCCGGACACCCACTGTTTTGCTGTTCAAGCTTCCACGCCTACAAATTCGAAAACACCTAAAGCTCCAAACTGCTGGCGCAAGTTCCGAAGCCGCTGTCTACTGTGGAAATTGCTCGCTTCTCAGGCGCCGTAGATCCACCGTTGCGCAGAGCACTTGGCCGCTGCTTTCGGGCACTGGGCGCAAGCTTGGACAGGAGGCACCCAGAGACACCGCCGTGCATCGTTCAAGCAGAGGTTTTTGCAGAGTGAAAGACTAGCTCTAACAAGTGCGCTTGTCTGCATTCCGAAGCGACAGGTTTCGGAACAGCCCCACTCCGCTGCACTCCAGCCAAGCTTTGACCGGGCCTTCCGTCCGGCTGGATCTCTGCGACCGAGCCTCGGCGATAAAGCACTTGGTCGATTGCGGGGCCTAGGCTTTTCGACTTTGCGACTTTTACACATTGCTGGGTCTTCAGAGCGAACCTCAAAGAAAGACTGAGTCCCTCAACTGAGGACTCGTCCTTTTTAAGTTTCTTGGCTGCAGTCATTTGCCGTCAGATCGCGGCAACTGCTCAGCAACCCCGTGTGGCTTCAGAAACGAATGAAAGCTCAGGCCAGTCGGTTGGGAAGTTTGCGACGGGAACGTTCGTCGGCAACTTCGACACTTTGTGGGCTGGAAGGGCTCGTGGCCCATTCTGCGGAGCCTCCCCACTGCACTGGAACAGGCCTTTGCTCCTGCAGTTGGCCCTGTCACAGCTGAGGTGCACAGCATGACTATGGATTCCTGCACCGCGTGGACGTTCCGTGCTCTGGGTTGATTCTCTTTGCGAAGAGCTTTCGAGCATACTACGACTTGCAGGTGCTCAGCTTAAAGTTGGGTTCGATCGCCACTGAATCGCTGATTGAGCTTGCTCTAGTTCTTTATGACAAAGCTTTTTGACCCTGAACGCCGGTCCGGACAGGTGCAGTTGAGAGCCGGAGACACTCAGCTGAACATCTCATGGGCCTTCGTTGCAGTCCCCACTGTCGGGGGCCGCGTAAGCACCGGGCTTCTCCCAACACCCGTAAGGAGGAAGGCGATCGATGAACTTGTAGACCACTTTGCGTAGCCACGGGCTCGAGAGAAGCAGGCACCTTAGGCAGATGCTGAGATGCCCCGGGCTGCTTAGGTGATGTTTCTGGGCCTGAGCGGCGCGAGCCCAAGCAGAAAGCTCTCTTTTGAAGGCGTGGCTTTCGCTTCAAGGCCTGCTGGGCCCACTGTGTTGTTTCCACAAAAGAAGCTTCAGAAGCTGCGGCTTTTCCGGAAGCGCAAAGGGGTCGTGCGGTGGGCTTGGGAGTTCTACTCGGCGGTCTCGGATGCTTGTGCGTCGTTGGTAGCCGGTGAACATGGGCATCAGCAGCTGCGAGGCCTGGCAGAGGTGAGGTCCGTGCGCCAGCATCGACGGACAGCTTTCTTAGATGTCGGCAACGCTGCGACGAGAAATGAAGGAAGCCCAGTGAGCACCAGCGAAGACCAGGAGCTGCTTCAGGTCGTGGTGCCACTTGAAGCCGATGTGGGAAACAAACAGCTTCTGAGGCCAGGAATTCTCTTAAGTTTCCGTGGAGTAGCAGGAAGGACACGCCGGGGCCAGGCATCACTCTTCGCAAAGAGCTTTACAGCCGAAGGCTTGACGGCTGCCTCTCCCGCCTTGCTTGCATCGCTCCTTAGTTTCGCCTTGGTAGGGGCTGTCCGACGAAAGGACCTCTGCCGCTGGTTGCAAATGTCAGAGGTTGAGTTGGAGAACGTGCTTTTGTGGGACGAGCCTCGGCGACAGAGATTCTGCTCGCGGCGTGCACGCTTTCTTCGCTTTGGGCGGGATCACCGTGCAAGGAACCGACGACGGAGCATGACTGCAAAGGAGCACCATGCGCTGGAAGAGTTAAGAGGTTGGGCAGAGATGCTGCGCAGGCATGCCAAGCCATTGCCCCAAGACGTTTCAGATGTCGCCCACGCAGCGTTGGGTCCTGCGGATCCTCTCGCAAACCTTGGCGGAGCGCACCCGCATCTGGAGAGGTTTTCGAAGCGCAAGAAGCGACCGCAGGTTTCTGTGATGACCAGACTTGTTTCAGAGCTTGGCCAGCTTCGAAGCGACGTCGAGATTGTGGACATCGTGGACGTCGGCGGAGGTCGTGGTGACCTGGCCATGGCTGTGGCGGCTGCTGTGCCACGCGCAAAGGTCTCGGTGATCGAATCTTTCGCTCCCTCAGCACAGCAAGGCCAGCATCGTGCCGATGAACTGAAACTGGATGTCGACTTCCATGTTTCGAACGCAGAATCACTGGCCTCTGCATTGCAGGCCCAAGAACGCCGTCCCATTGTAATGGCTTTACATGCGTGTGGTGGCCTCACCGATGTTGCCTTGGAAGCCTGTGCCACGCTCCGACTGCCCTTCTGCATTTGCCCTTGCTGCTATGCGTCACAGCCCCAGCTGCGTTCAAGAGCGCTTGCACCTCAAGAGGAGATTCTGCAACGACTCGCGGAAAGCAACGGCTTACCTCGTGATGTCTCCCAGCTGGCAGCCTTTGGCATTAACGGAATGAGACTGCGTCATTTGGACCCTATTCCTGTCCCAATCTCGACGACACCGGAACTGCCACCATCCTGGAGCGTGCGTGCTTACACCTTCCCAAACGAGTGGTCTTCCCGCAATATGATTCTCTGGGGCTATCCGCAGGAATGGAAACAGAGCACGGGCTTCACTTCTCTAGTATCCCTTGAGACCCCAATGCGCCACTGACCTTGGTTTTGTAGGGCCGCGCAAAGCTGAACTTGTTGGGACTACAATGACGTACAAGGGAAGCTGTTGCTATACCAATTTGGAGATCACAGGGTAACATAAAGTAGCCACGCGGCCAAGAGAAACCAAAGTAAAGTGGTACTCCCATTCTGTCAGACATCCAAGAAGTTCAAAGTCTGATCCGCAAGAATGCCTCAATGTTTCAGCTCAGGAGATTCGGCGTGACTACTGCGTTTTGTGTCGCGGTCTCAGCTCTGCTGCAGTGCTGCATGGCAAAGAGGATGCCTGCACCAGGTGCTCACCTGTCTTGCTGATATGAGGCCACGGGTGGTTCCCGCAAAGACAGCGCAGGGTGAGTGCCCTCGTGACATGGCGAGGACTGCCACGGGCTGCCTGCTGCGTTAAATTCCACGCGGAACCCTCCGCCTTAGCAGGACTTGGTAAACTAGTTTAGAACACCCGAAGTAGGCCAAGTGCATGGGTTTGCGCTGATAAGTCGAAAGCAAGTATTGTTGAGGAGATGGGCCAACTCGCTCCGGCGGTGTCGGAAAACCTGCACGCACAGAATTCAAGGCTCGCGTGCTGCTGGAATGAACTCCAGGGTACCTGCTTAGTATCTTTGGGGAAGGTGCTGGCTCACATTCTCCTCGCGTTTGGCACTGCAACATTGACGGTGGCAGCTTCATTGCAAGATCATCGACCAAGCGAAACCCTGGAACTCCTCCGCCCTTCCGTCTTGACTCACACCGACTGGCTCTGCACAAGCATACCGAGGTGCGGATTGCAACCGGCCGGCGTCATCAAATTCGGAGCCACTGCTCCTTTATGGGACACGCAGTGGTTCGGGACGAGAAATACAACGCACCTTGACATGTCAAGATATGTGTTCTGTGCTGTTGCTTTGAGCCGTCTGCCTTGAGCGACATTGAGACCCTTTTTGCAATTCTTCAAGGCTCTCCAAACACAGGAATTGGATTTCACCTTCTGCGACTCTATCTTTTTGCATCGACATTCTTTGTTCTTTCACGACCTCGGCAATGGGGAGCACGCGGCTTGGATTCTAAGCCCTCTTTCGTCTGCACTACTCACGGTCGTATGACCACTCTGGCTCACCCTAAACCTGCAATTCCCGGTGACGACGCCGGGCCAGCCAAATCATATTGAACCTAGGAGGTGGTGGATCATTTGCCTGCCGACCACATCTCTGCACTTGCTAGGGCAGCTGGGAAAGACCCCACCTCCACTGCTGCACTGAACCGCTTCTTGGCAGCATGGCATCATCTCTCTGCTTCTTCTTCAAATGTTCTATATCGGACAATGATGCATCCAAGTCAGGTGTAATTAATGGTGATTTGAAGACTTGGGAGCTGCCGCCTGGCGACAAGACTCGCAGCCTCACAGATGTTAGAAGTCAGAATCCGGTGCTCACCGCGACTCAGAACCCCAGGACAGAGCCGATCACCTGCAGAATGCAATCGGAAGAGGGATCGCGCGAAAGGTTGAATGCTCAGGAGCAAGCTTAGAAAAAAGAAAGTGCCTTTGTTGGCGCACCTCGGAGTTGCTCAGCTTTCTTGTTCCACCCTGCGGGCGTAAGCGATGGAATGTAGTTTGAAGCAGAAGAGTCCGCAGCATAACGGCAGCGAGCGCTGGAATATTGCCATGCTACTGTAGGTAGGGAGCTGCAAGCCTTTGCACAACAGTGAGCCAGCTCCACACGGGCGACTGCGGCATGACGAAGCTCAAAGATAGCTGTGAGGCTTTTGTTCGTCCCAAAATAAGCGATCAGTTGCGATGTGCCGTACGCGGCTTGACGTCACTGATGGTGAAAGCTCATGGCGGGCTTCGTCGGCAGGGGTGCAGACACACTCCCACCAAAGGACGGGCCCCAGCGGCGAAGCGAATTTGAGAGGAAGGTGCGGGCAGCGCCTGCTTCCAACGCAGGAGCCCTTGTGCCGGCAGACATCCAGGGAAGCTGCACAGGCCGACCGTTGACAGAGAATGTTGCCGATCGGGGTCGTTTCGCATTTTTCTGGTCCGAGGTCGCCCGCAGTCTTGCGCAACACCGGAAGCTGCAACAAGCACTGGATTTGCTTGATTCGCTGCAGAGCACGCATGTCCCAGCAACCAGGCATGCACTGGGCACTGGGATCTGCAGCAGTGTGAGTGTCTGCGTGGTGAAAAACCCAGCTCAGGCAGTTGATGCCATCACTTTCAACATCGCCATCAACTCCTGCTCCAAGGTTGTGACTGTCATTTGTGATCGCAGGATTGCTTGGGGTTCTGCTTTGCCCAGCCTTGCGATTTCCTGAAGGTCAAGCATTGGGCGCTCGCCGAAGAATTCTATTCCGTAATGTGTGCAAGCTCCGTGCGTCCCACGACGGTGACCTTGAACAGCGTGCCCCATTGATGAATTTCGCTGACTTCTTGTTCCGACTTGCAGGAAATCAAAGGCATGTCCAACGTGTTCTCCGGAGGTGGTGAATGCCCACGAGCGGTCCGGCAATTGGCAAGTTGCACTGGGTCGCCTAATGAGCTTCCAGACATTGGGCGTCAGCGCAGATGTGCCTGGCCTGAGCGCAAGATGAAGATCCTGTTACGGTGGGCTGGTCTGCAGGATGTTCAGAAGCCCAGCATTGCGAGGCCATCAGCTTCAACACTGCCATCACAGCGTGTGCTCGTGCGAAGCAGTGGAGTCTTGCATTGAGTACACTGCGTAACAATGAGGCCCAGAAGTTCAGACTTCGAACACCGTCTTCGAGTTTCAAACCCATGATACTGGGCTCACTGGACCCCACAGCCGGCAGGACTTCATGGAAGACAACATTGGTTACAACGCGGCTGCGAGTGCTCTGGAGAATCTGGGCATTGTGCAAGTAAGCCAAGGGCTATCCCTTAGAAGCCCCAGGGCTGGGGTTTCTAGGTCGAGTCAAAAGTTTCCGAAGTGGGCCTCACAACACGAACCTAGAATGATGTTCTTTATGTCGCAATGGATGCCTGAGAAGCTGGCAGCTCTTGTTAGTCACTCACGATTGAGCGCTTTAAATTCTTGTTGCTGTGTTAAAGCCTCAAACTTGCTCTCTCGTGCTGCTCAGATCGTTTGCCAGGAAGGTGAAGCGCTGGCGCAACGTGCTCGACCTGGTTCAGTCAATGAAGCTCTGCTGAAGACTGCTGACAAAAGTCTGCACAAAGAGAGCCAACACGAAGCCTGCGTTTTGAGGCATGTGGGCCGTGCTGAAGCTGACCATTTTACCTTCAGTACGACTTTGTCTTCGCTTTCGGGAGCTGAGCTTTGGCAGTCGGTATTCGGTTGTTTGCAGGACATGCAGGCCCTTCGCAGCTTCAAGGTTGATTCTTGTATCAGTTAGCATCCTTTCATGCTTCTTTTGGCATGGCGCTGTTTGTTGCACCGAAGCAGGTCCTCACTGACAACTTTGTCCTGAGCACCTTGGCGTTGAGACGTATGCTCTTTGCATGCCTTGGGATCCCCGGTTGTTTGCGTGATCTTGCACGTCTGTCGACGCAGGTGCCATTATCAAAGCATGTGAAGCAAGTTCGCAGTGGCGTTTGGCGATACATTGTCTGTCTGATCTGGAGGCATGTAGAGCTGCAGTAATCAGGAGGTGAAGAGTCCAAACAACACGGGCAAACCGAATGTTTGCGTGGCAGGACAGGCAACTTCAGCCCGACGTCGCACTTCTCAACAGCGCCATCAGCGCAGCTGCGAAGGCAGGTGAGTGGGAACAGGCATTCTCCCTGATCAGCTGCCTGGCAGAAGGAGTCTGCGGGAAGAGTCTAGCAAGCACAGCTGGCGTCGGGACGCAGCTGAGCAACTGGTGTTTCCACATCAGCCAAGCTGCATTTGGGCTCTTCTAAGGGCTGGTGATTGCATCTGAATAGCTTCAATGTCCAACAAGCTCGGTGGACGAGACACACAAACAGAAGCACAAGGAGGAAACAGGACAGGCAAAGCGAATAAGTGACAAGAAGATGTGACCACCCAGCCCACAGATCCTAACGGATGTCTGAACACGCAGGGACTGTTGCTACAGAGCTACAACCCAGGCCTGAATGCTTTCCTCAGCTGCTCTTTACTGATTTGCAGTTGTTTCATTTCGCATTTAGTGTTTTATAAACACTACAACTTCTGTGCCGCTCCCCTGGTGCTCATCTTGTTTTCATGCAGCGAACTTTGGGTGACGTTGGTCCGTGCTTTCGCACGTGTGTTTGCCTGCGCGGTTGTATTACAGCTGCAGATTCTGCCGTTACGATTTTGATTTGCTTTTTTTGCGAAATTCAGCGCCACACGAAAGGATGTGGCCGCCCTTGCCCCCTGCTCGACTAAATTCGTTTCCCATCTACATTCGACGGTTGTAGAATCTAAACATCAGCGCACTTCAACGCTGCAGCCAATTTCATGATCCCACAAAGGTTTTTCGACCACAGCCCTACAGAGTCTTTGTTCTTTTCGAGTCAGCGGCCTTTAACCTGTCCCCATTTATGGTCCAACCCCGTTTCGCACCATCAGGCAGAGGTCGTTCCAGCATCGAAGGCTTTGAGGCCGCGGCCCTTTCTTTGGATCATAGCTCTCATGGTCAGACCCCATACTTCAAAAGAAGCATCTTTCCTCTTCAGTACTTCTACGTACGTGGCATGCCGAAGATCCCAGCACTCAAGAGACTCCGAAAGCTTCCGAAGCCAAGGCTCTCTCCAGCTTGCTCGTTTGGAGCCAGTGTCATGATGCAACGTAGTTGCAGCAATCCCGCCTGCCAAAAACTTGATGGCCTTGAGGATGTCATCACCTGGGGCGCTGCAGCCACCGCTTGAGATTCAGCCGCACCTCATGTTCCTATGTTCCTTTGATCCTCAGACCGGCTTTCGTCCTTTGCATGAAGCAATGGCCGGTTGAGGTGAAAGAGCTGCGCAATGGAGAATGGCCATTGCACTGCTCAAGAACATGAGGCATGGCTCTTATGACTTTTGCGAATTCTGCCTGCTGGAGT